CACCACCACCACCACCACCTCTTCTCGTACTACTACTATTGCGACGACGACGACGACGACGACTACTACTACTACCAGAACTGTCGCTACCCCTTACCACCACCTACTAGCAACTACCAGCACCTACTAGCACCAACCACCACCTACTACCACCTGCTACCACCCACTACTACCTACTACCTACTACCTACTACCTACTACCTACTACCTACTACCTACTACCTACTACCTACTACCTACCACCAGCAACAGTTACCACGACGACCACGACTACCAGGACAACGACAACAACAACAAAACATCGGAAATGATGCAGCAGCAGCAGCAGCAGCAGTAGCAGTGGCAACAACAACATCATCATCATCATCATGGCCGTCATCAACCTCAGCATCTTCATCATCATCATCATCAACAACATCGTCATCATCATCACCATCATCACCATCACCGTCAGAATCATCACCATCATCATCAACATTATCATCATCATCATCATCATCAGAGTCATGAACATAGTAAGACAACTCTCATGACTGCTGCTCTAGCATGGCCATCAGCCTCAAGCATCGACTAGGCAGCACCAGAAATCAATTCAACTCCCAGGGTATACGAACCTAACATCCTGAACCCCTGAACCGCCAAACGAGTACTGGTTTGCAGTTCGTCCTTCGGGCGTGGCCCGAACTCGGAGAGTGGGGGCAGCCATGCCTGCGATGGCTGGCGCTGTCTGGGGACGGGCTTTGTGCAGAGTACCCAGGAGCTAGGCCAAGCAATTCCCAAACCAGACTCTTCAGGTTTTGAGGAAGTCGGCTTCGATTCAAGTTCCAGGTTCCGGATTACGAAGCTATCTTTGGGTTTGCAAGGCTGCAGCTTTAGCGGCAAGCCTTGGGATATGCCAGGCTACTCCGGGTTCACGAAACAATCAATGATCAGAAACGAAACTTAGGTTCCCTGATGAACATGCTGCGGTTCTTGGCAGGCACTACCGTACAAGTCCCAGAATATTACTTCTGTAAGCCGGGCAGCCAGCCCTGAACATGCCAGGATCAAATCCCGAAACCCAAAGGCTCTTAAACTCCAGATTCAACGAAGCCCCATGAACCCCGAAACCCTAGACCAATGACCCCCTGAAACTCCTTATCCACAAGCTCTGTACCTCCCCCACAGCAATGCCCCCCGAAACCCTAAACCCTAAACCTACAAACCCTAATCCTAAACCCCAAACCCTGAACCCTAAACCTGCA